ATATTTTCTAATGCTGTTGAGCATCTTTACCATCATTATTTTGAACTTTCAGATAAATTTATTATCTCCATTTTATTTATATCTTCTTCTGGAGAATTCTCTTGGTCTCTTATTTGGGGGTTGTTTCTTTGTATCCTCATTTTAGGTGCCTGTTTGCGTTTGTGACTATGTATTATGTAGATCTGCTCTGCCTCTCAATCTCTAGTGCAGGACAATGTCGAATGTTGTTTCTGATTAATTAGATCAGGCAAAGACTAAAAACCTCCAGAAACTGCTTCTGTTTGAAGACTATTTGGATCTAGTCTTGAATAGCTCTAAGGAAATTGTCCATAGGTATGGTGAGAATTTTTTCCAACAAGGTGGGGGAAATTGTTTCTGCCTGGAAGCTAGCTGTTATTTTCAGTCTTTTAATGAGCCACAAAAACTCCACACTGTGGGGCAAAATGTGTTCTAATAGGGTAGATCAACTGTCTTCCCCCCAAGCAAAACAAACTAGACGCCTATTGTCTGACTTCTACAGTGAGAGGGAATGACTCAGCACAGGAAAACAGAGGTCTATCTTCTGAGCTCTAACCCCAGGATCCTCAACCCTGGCTTCTGCTCACACAGCTCCAGTCCACTCTTCCCTCTCTCTGCTGGAGAACAGGATACACAGGAAAATTTGTGCATTGGTCCTTTATGAGGGTGTCTGTATTTCTGGCTATCTCTCCCTGGCAGACAACAACCCTACTGCTTTTCACAGTCAGATGTTATGTTGGGTATCCTTCTTAGTTCTAGTGCTCTCTGCTGGGAGGCCCAGCTTGGGGATTAGACCCAAGAGTTCTCAGTCCTGCAGCTGAGATATCTCTCTGAAACTTCATTTGCTTTCTGTGAGTCTGGTCAACTCTTTCATGCCTCCATCCCTCCTATAGTCTCTATGTGGTCTCCACTTTCTGTCCTTGATTATTAGGATTCTTTCCAGCTAGTGTCCTGTTAATTATTTAGGAAGCTTTTCTTTATTTTAGTTGTAATTTCAGTTTATCCTGAGGAGCATGTTCATGCAGCATCCATTTACTCTGCTGCCATTTTTAATCTGTATAGTTATTATTTTAAACTAGAGGCCCAGTGCATGATGTTTGAGTACTCGGGGGAGTAGGGAAGGCTGGGAGAAGGAGGTCCTCAGCCTGGCCTGCACCATCTTGCAGTCCAAGAGTCCTCGGAGGGATGTCCAGCTTCTGGCTTATTGGCGTTCCCCCTGTGGAAGCTCACTGATCACCAGGGGGCAGTTCCTGCATTGAGCATCTGCCCCCTGGTGCTCAGTATGCATCATAGCAACCAGTCATTCCACTGTTTGGCCAATTTGCATATTAGCCTTTTATTATATATGTTGTTTACACAATTATTTCTGGATTGTGTGGTATATGAACATATGTACCTGCCTGTATATTACCAAGTCTTCTGATTCTACCCTGTTTCCCCGAAAATAAGACAGTGTCTTATATTAATTTTTTCTCCCAAAGTTGCGCTAGGTCTTATTTTCAGAGGATGTCTTATCTTTCCATGTGCTAGGTCTTATTTTCGGAGGATGTCTTATTTTCGGGGAAACCACGGTAAGTATAAATTATCTTCCATAGGCTCTTCCTCCAAGCATTTCCACTGTTTTCGCCCTTGTTCTGATTTATACAACATTTTAAAATGTGGGTTTTTGGGTTTACAAAATGCTTACATATTGTAAAAAAAAATAATACGGATAGTTAGACATATCTACTCACCTCTCATCAACCCTTCTTTACTACCAAGCCTGCTTCAGGGGTTGCATGATTTATTGTGCTGCTGTTGACTTCTTGAAATTCTTAATAATTCTGAATACAGAATCCTGCATTTTCTGTTTTTACTTGGCCTTGAAAAATTTGTAGCCAGTCCTGTTAACATCCCAGCCTCTTTCACTCCTTCCCTCTTATGCAATCACTCTGAACTATTTGCTACTTCCAGAAAATTTCCATGTATGTAAGCATGTTTGCATTAGTTTTTCCATCGATGGGGTTATTCTATACAAATTCTACACTTTTTCTTGCCTCCTCAGTGTTGCATGACTGAACTTTTCCATGAAATAGCCTCCATCTCCCCAGCACCCATTTCCTCCTTCCCTCAATCAGTCTCCATATCTCTACGGGATGAGCTTTCTAATTTGGTTTTGCCACTACTCTGCTTAAAATGTACAATGCTTCCCTGTTGTGTATAGAGGAAATTAGCATCCTGGCAAACAAAACAGACTCTGTAGGGCCATTGCCAATGTTCTGGTGAATTGAGTTTCAGAGCATGCAAGTCTGAAGGACAACTCTGCACTAGGAAAATCACCAAGATAAGTCTTTTCTGCAAAGAAGTCAGGTCTCTTCTCATATCACCTAATCTGCACATTGGCCTTTATTTTTATTTACTTATTTATTTTTAAAATATATTTTATTGATTTTTTACAGAGAGGAAGAGAGAGGGATAGAGAGTTAGAAACATCAATGAGATAGAAACATCGATCAGCTGCCTCTTGCACACCCCCTACTGTGGATGTGCCCACAACCAAGATACATGCCCCTGACTGGAATCGAACCTGGGACCTTTTAGTCCACAGGCCGACGCTCTATCCACTGAGCCAAACCAGTTTTGGCAGGCCTTTATTTTTAGACTTTGCAATATGGAATCTGTCTAATAGCTAGGAAAAAGTGATCTTCACTTTTCTTACCATTACTTTGTAAAATGGTGAATAATCAACTTTAAAATTAGCAAAGATAGTATTAGGGACTTCATGTTTGTGTCCCCCTCAAATTTATATGTTGAAACCCTAACCTCCATGTGATGATATTAGGAGGTAGAGCCTTCAGGAGGCAATTAGGTAGGGATGTAGCCATAGAGTGGAGGCTAATCCTTATAGAAAGAGGAGACCAGAGCTCTCTCTCTTTCTGCTTTTTGGGGACATAGTGAAGAGGCACCCAGATCTTGGACTTCGCAGCATTCTGTGAGAAATAAGTATTCTTTAAGCTATCCAATCCATGATATTTTCAGATAGACAGGAAGGAAGTCTTTAGCTTTCTTTCCACAATGTTGATTAATCTATAGCATAGGATTAGTTCATGTAGACTGATTATCTACACAAATAAAAGAGTAATATGCAATTTGGCCATACCTTTGCAACACCCACCAACCAATCAGGAGTGAACATGCAAATTAACACAACAAAAGATAGTGGGTTAATTTACATACATAGGTGCTGAGTGGCCAGGGGAGGGACCGGATACATGCATTCCACACTGCCTCAGCCACTCCAGGTCTCTAGGTAGTGTGGTAAGGTGGAAAGGTGGTACTGGGCCAGAGCAAAAAGGCGGCTCCAACTGGAGCGAAGGCAATGCTAGCAGCTAGGGGAAGGAAGGCCCATTCTTGCATGAATCTTCATGCATTGGGCCTCTAGTTTTATAAATAAAACTAAGACAAAAACATAAGCCATATCCAAAGCCATGGAATTTAGTGACGAACTTAAATTAATATCTACTGCCCTTCAGGTTAATAGATTGTGACATTTTGGAATTTTCCTGAATCCTCTAAATTCTGAGGTCAGAATGGTATTCTGAAAGAGTTTAGATAAATCTGATTGTTATGGCAACAACTACTTTTATTGCTTCCAGTCCTGCATTTCTAAGCTATAAAGGTTTGATTGTCCAAGTTGATGGTTAAGAATGCTTGTATAGTAGCCACTCAAAGACCTGTGCCATCATGGATGAATTACCTCTGAGCTTTAATTTTCTTAAGTGGAAAACAATAGATATAGGATTTACCTCACAGAACTATGATTAGAAATAAATAAGATTTTAACTTATCTGATTATACAACACATATTTATTCAGTGACTATTATGTACCAAAAATTGTGCTAACGGTGAGATTATGGCAATGATTCACACATATTTCCAGCCTTCATGGACCTAACAGTCTGGTTAGATGAGGGTGTCAGAAAGCACCACAGTTCCTGTACAGAATTAATGCTCAGTTAATAAAAATATTTATAAATGTTTTCCCTTCCTTTCTACTTGATCTTGAAATATAGTCTCAGTCACCGAATAGGGTTGTTTACATTGTAATCACCATGGAGAAATCCATCCTTGGCCCTGCCCTCTCCCGCTTTCATTCTTCTGAAATTATTTGCTGGTAGAAAATATAAACTGGAAACTGACATGCATCCAGTCCAGTGCCCCTTTCTTTATGCATTAATAGAGGATAAAAAAAAATAAAAATCAGTTTTTTAACTCAATCTTGTCCAAAGGTAAGAGTTTACAATTTTTTATGGAAATGCCCATGTAATAGATGAGCTTTGAAAATCTGGATGAGGCTTAATTACTTCATAGTAACCAAGCATCTCAGCCCAGGTGCCCAGCTTGCAAGACTGAGAGCTCTGCTGGAATGGACCTAGTCAAGTGTGCCTCTCAAGAAGGCTGCATGGCCAAGAAACCAGCTCAGAAGCCACCCTGACGGAAAGGCACCCAAGGAAGACCCTGTGAGCCCTGCTCAGGAGCGTGAAGGACATCGCCAGGCCAGCGTGCAGAGACCATGCCATGCTCTTGGCAGCCCAGGAGAAGGGAGCCTGACATGCAGGAGCATTGCACTGCTGTGCGGACTGCAGATGTCTGTGTGGCCTGCTGCGCCCTGTTAGAGCTGCAGTTGTCCAGGCCAGCTGCTCTGGACGGCCAGCTGTCAGCGGACAGGGCGAGCCCTTCCCAATTCTTGCTAAGAAAACGAGCATGGAATGGGATCAGCACAGGATATGACTTTAATATCCTCCATCTGTCCAAGGAGACGTATTTGGAAATAATGGTGTGCTTTTGATCAGGAATTGTTAAGGCTCCTTTAGTATAGCATTCACACAAGTTAAAAAGCCAATTGCATGGTTAGTCAGGCTCTGCGGAGTGAGAGGGCAGGGATTGGTGGTGCTAAGGGTGGTGTCAAGGAAAGGATGCCCCCGCTGAATCCAGAACCTACCTTCCTTGCTCCCAGGCACTGCTGCAGCTGAGGCTTAGTGAGGACACCGTACTGGCAGTTGTGGGGCTGCCATGTTATTTCTCTCCAGTCACAGGTCCTGTTGTCTGAACAACTAAGGCAAGGCATGATCCATTGGCCTGGAATAGACACCAAAACCTCCTTTGGTTCAATTTTTACTGGTGACATGACAGTTTGCCAGGAACCTTGGGATTCAGCCTTGGCACACCCTCCCAGAAGCTGCGGTGAGAAGACTGCTCTGGCCCCACAAATCCAGTGGAGCCATGTGTGGTCTTTCCAACCGAATAGGATCTCATACATGATGATCTGGAATAGCACAGTTCATGCTGAGTTCTGTTCTGGGAAGCCGTGCACTGACACAAAGTCTAGTGTTCAGGTCCTACTCAACTGAAAAGCATATTTTTAAAAATAACTTTACCCACACACAGTATTTTGTGCAAGAGCCACACTAAAGGGGCCAAAGAGCCACATGTAGCTCGTGAGCTGCAGTTTGCCAACCACTGCTCAAACTACTTAGCAACACCAGCCAGGGAAAATTCTAGTATATGTGTTCTTTTGATTTAATATAGTCATTGAAATTATTTCAAAGAGTTGTAAAATAATTGTACTCACCCTGGGTATTTAAAAAGGGACCATAAAATTAAAATCTATGGCTCAATGGTTGAGCATCAAACTATGAACCAGGAGGTCACAGTTCGATTCCAGGTTAGGGCACATACCCAGGTTGCAAGCTTGGTCCCCAGTGTAGAGTGTGCAGGAGGCAGCCAATCAATGATTCTCCCTCATTATTTCTATCTCTTTCTCCCTCTTCCTTCCTCTCTGAAATCAATAAAAATATATTTTAAAAAATTAAAAAAATAATTTAAAAAATAATTACAATTTTAAACTGTAAAATTAGACCCATTGGTCCAACATAGGTGGGGAGCCACTAATATTGAGGTAGCTGGCCATAAAGAGTGATTAGTTTAACTCATGCTTATGTGAGTAATCCATTAAGAAAATTACTTTTACATTCTCACAATTTATTATTTTGAAGACTAGTTTCTTCATTTGATGGGTGTCTTTTTTGGCGTGAATCTCTTCTCTTTTTATCTCCGTTGCCCTTATTTCTTCAGCTGTTAGATGAGGTATGTAGTGTTCTCACATGACTGGTGTGAGGATTTAATGGGATAATGTATTTTATGCATCAAGCGCAGTTACAATATCATACTCACTTTTGTTCCTAGTAGATTTCAGGTACGGAGTAGGTCCCCAGCTTTAGTACGTGTGTACAAAATAAACGAATATTCTCATTGTATTAAGATCTTTTCTATTTTGTTGATAAGGTAATATGCATCAAAAATATACTAAATAAAATAAGTGTGAGTAGGTACATTAATAATTTACTAGAAAAAAAATCAAGAAATGACTTGATTTTCCTTGTTTATCTTTTCAGAAATGGAGTGTGAACTGGCACATTAAGCATGAAGTAGTCGTTTCTCTCCTTTGTGGAGAATACCCTGCTCTCTACAACAGTAATCTGCTCTACCTTACAGGTCTTGCCTGTGTTCCCACTAAATGTTTCTCTTTAAAATGTTGAGAAGGTAAATATTCCCAGGAACTTTTTAAGTTTGAAAGGAAAAATTTGAACAACTGTATCCATTCTGGCTCTGATTTTTGGCTCTGCTAACGCAAGTGTCCAGTGTTCCATTGATCTTAGTGGGAAGAGTTTCTCCATTCAGGGAATGAATGGGGGTTACTTGCACCTCATGACCAAGGAGATGGCCAAATTGTGTATGCACTGTGTATGTGTGTGAAAGGAGAGCTGGCTTATGTCTCACTAATACATTTTCCCCCTAATGGAAAGGGAAAAAATGTGTATTTATGTTAAGAGAGAGAAACTGGGGGAAATAAAAGAAAATATTACTCTCTAGGAGTATTTAAATTTAGTACATTATTGAAGTAGCTTCCCTATCAGATGCTAGGTGCTGTTAGTGTTAACATATCATGACAACTTAAAAAATATTAAACATTTTCGTAGCAGCTGGCAGGTGGCAGGGATATTATAAGCACTTTTAATAAATTATCCAATTTGAGCCTCCTAACTATGATGCTAAACCTCAAATATTTATAATCAGACAAAAAGTTTATAATGTATGCAAGTCAAATAATTATAATAATAAGTAATGCATAATTAAGTAAAGACATCTGTGTGATCCTGAAAGAGCCTGGGCTTTGGAGATACACACCTGGGATCTGCTTCCAGCGAGCTCTGTGGATCTCAACCCTGCCCAGTAGGGCCACCTGGAAAGCTTTTAAAAATCACCCATGCCCAGGTTGTTTGCTAGGCCAGTGGTCGGCAAACTCATGAGTCAACAGAGCCAAATATCAACAGTGCAATGATTGAAATTTCTTTTGAGAGCCAATTTTTTAAAACTTAAACTTATTCTAATGCCACTTCTTCAAAATAGACACGCCCAGGCCGAGGTATTTTGTGGAAGAGCCACACTCAAGGGGCCAAAGAGCCTTATGTGGCTCAAGAGCCGCAGTTTGCCGACCACTGTGCTAGGCTGATTAAATCCGAGCTGCTGGGCTGGGTATGGGACTCATGGAGGTTTTTTTTTTTAGTTTTTGTTTTTTTTTTAAAATTAAATATAGTTAAGTTTATTTTCACTAAAATTTTTTCTTTATTGTTGAAAGTATTACATATGTCCCTCCTTTCCCCCCATTGATTCCCTCCAGCCCCCTCCCCTCCACCTTCAGCACCCTATTGTCTATGTCCATGGGTTATACTTATATGCATATAAAATCTTTGGTTGATTACCTCCCATCTACCCACCCGACCACACCTTCCCTCTGAGATTCTCTGTTCTCTGTGTCCATGTCTCTGGATCCACTCCATTCACCAGTTTATTTTGTTCATTACATTCCACATATGAGTGTGATCATGTGATACTTGTCTTTCTTTGACTGACATATTTCACTTAGTATGATATTCTCTATCATGGAGTATTTTTGAAATGCTTTTCAAGTAATTCCATATGCACCTAAGGGTGGAGTCACTGTTAAACTTGTACAGGTTACTTAATTTTCTATGTATGGAAAATATATATGGCACCTGCCATAGTGCCTGATACCTAGCAATTGATGAATACACTTTACTCCCCTACCCACAAGGTAGTTTAGAATAAAGAAAGTGTCATGGGGGCAAGAGTTGTCTGGAAGGTTCCATGAAATGCATAAACTGAAATGAGATCTATGGATAGACAAGATTTGGACATATGGAATCGGTGGTATTTAGGGACAGTGATGGGGTGGACCTGAGAAAAGTGAGGCTGAAGAAGTGACTGTATGTATTGGAGAGAAAAGGGTCTGCTGGGTGAAAGGTGTTTCCAGTTTATATCTGTCGAGTCTAGCAGTGCTATTAAAAGATACAACACATGCCGAAACTGGTTTGGCTAGGTGGATAGACTGTCAGCCTGCGGACTGAAAGGTCCCAGGTTCGATTCCGGTCAAAGGCATGTACCTTGTTTGCAGGCACATCCTTAGTGGGGGGTGTGCAGGAGGCAGCTGTATCTCTCTCATTAATGTTTCTAAGTTTCTATCCCTCTCCTTTCTCCCTTCCTCTTTGTAAAAAATCAATAATAAAAAAAATACAACACAGAAAATGTTAGGAGTGTGCTTGTCTCTTGTATAATTTTTTTGCACTTTTCATTTAAAATAGAACTTTCTTTCTACATCTAATTTTTCCTGGCACACAGGGTTTGTAATCCACAGTCAACCCCTACACCTCTTTGCTTGGCCTCTTATTTCTATGTGATTTAGACATAGCCTTAAGTTTAATGTTTGATTAAGTTTTTAAGAAAACCTCCTTCTGGCAGTGACTTTACTTCATAGAGATTTGCATTTTGTGGAAAATAAAATCCTCTTGGAGGAGTTTCAATGGGCCTTGGATCTCCTCCTCTTTTAGAAATGAGGTAAACTGAGGCCTACAGCATTGAATAAAGAAGTGAAATCATGCCAGGACTGGGCCAGAACTGAGGCCTAGAAGTCTCCACTTTGCTGATCCTTTTATCAAGTTAGGTCAGCACAAAATCACCAGCTGAAAATGAAATATGGCCTAACAGTGTCATTTGTAGCATTTACAGGAAAACCCATAAATAGGTTTTTGTATTTAAAAAAAATATATTTTATTGAGTTTTTACAGAGAGGAAGAGAGAGGGATAGATAGTTAGAAACATTGATGAGAGAGAAACATCGACCAGGTGCCTCTTGCACATCCCTGATTGGGGATGTGCCAGCTACCAAGGGACCTTTCAGTCCACAGGCCGACACTTTATCCACTGAGCCAAACTGGTTTCGGCCGTTTTTGTATTTTTTTTAAATGAACTTATCTTTACTTCAAATTTTTCAACATATTCAGTGGATTCATGTGTTGACAGAGATTATGTTTAAAACAAAAAGATTGTTGATTTTCTTCCTAAGAGGATGGCGGGATATTGGGGACATGAAGGTGTTTCTGCTGATGAGATTATATTTAAAGGGCTCAGCTTTCTTCAGACCTCTCCCACAGACACGCTCCTCTCTCTCCTCCAGCCCTTTGCTGGCAGCTAGTTTTGCACAAACAGAGTCTTTCTTTGGTCACTTGCTGTTATGGCTGAAGGAACAAGTGGCCAAATAAATACAAGCACAAAGATTCAAATATGGGTACAGTTAGTTTGGGGTAGGGTGGAATGGACAACTGATTGGGTCTCTAAACACTTGGTCCCATTGATTCATACTATATTTTATACAGTACTAACTGCATTTTTGTATTGGTTAACAATGCCTATCTTTCAAGTTAGTAATATTGCTTAAAAAATATATCTACAGGACTGGAGTTCCTTGACATCTTAAATGATACAAGCTCTTGGCTAAAATTGTCAAAAAGAAGAACATAAATTCTATGCTTTGTATTTAAACATTGAATGAATCAAAGCTGAATGAATCAAATCTTTATTTCAGATTTCTGAAATAAAATATGACATATGTTTTAGGGGAAAACCTTCTGAGGCATAAAACTGCCTTCTGTGAGAAGTTATTTGATTTATAATTAAAGCTTTATATTTAATGAAAGTTAGATTTCCGCCATTTAAGTGAATGAGATCGGGCAATATAATGGAGGAAAAAAAGTAACTTTTTGATTTAGGGCCGCATTGAGATATAAAATCACACAGATGATAATACTAATTCTAGATTTTACAATGCTATAAAATAAAGCAGTTTTTACTTAAGAAGTAAAGCACACCAAGATTTTCATTATTAGAAACATTAAAGTGGAAGTTGTCATATTTCTTTTCTAAAAATAAGATCTGATTAATGCTTTTGTTCACATAGCATACAGTAAAATCTGAACTATTTTCCTTAAAGAAAATTCTCATTCAGTAATCATTGTATACATTTCTTCTTTCTCCAAATTAGAAGAATTCTTTTTTCCTTGTGAAGTAACAGATTTTATTCTTAGGTTGTGTCTTATCGATAAATTATTTTCTAAAGGTTAGAAATCCAGTTAAAAATACAATATACAGCCACTCAAATTTACATTAGCTAGTGTTATTGAAAAGACATTGTGACAATCATTACATTGGCAAGGTGAAAGAATGAATCTGATTCTGCCAAACCCCTGTAATGGAAGGTGAAAACCAGCTTTTGGAAACCACCTGCAGCTTAAAAATATAAGAAGCTAAAGCTAGAGCTCCTAAGTAAATTCCTCCTGTGCTGTCTCCTGGGATAACTTCCTTCAACAGAAGGGAGTTCTACCATCAAGGAAGGAAAATGATCTCCAGCAGCAAAAAAAATCCATATCCTTGCAAAAACCCCCAAAAACAATATTTAAAAAATCCATTCTTGCAAACCACTGTCCCCAATCTCACTCATTCACTTTAAATACGTAGGACCTCAAGGACCGAGCAGTTACCCTTGGTTGACTGTGCCTCGGCTGCGCATATTCTTCTGTAGAAGGGAGGAGGGCTTGGACATGATTTTAGTTCAGCAACCATTTTTTTTTTTTAATTTTAATCCTCACCCGAGGATATTTTTCCATTGATTTTTTACAGAGGGTGGAAGAGAGAAGGAAAGATAGAGAAAAATATCTATGTGAGAGATACAATAAAGGTTAGAAATCCAGATTGGTTGCCTCCTACACACACCTGACTAGGGCTGGGGCTGGGGAAGAACCCACACTGAGGTATGTGTCCTTGACGGGAATCAAACCTGGCACCCTTCGCTCCGCAGGGCGATGCTTTATCCACTGAGTAAACTGGCTAGGGCAGTTCATCAACCATTTTTAAATCATGTATTAGACACTAAAAGGTAAATAAGGGACAATCTCTGTTCTGGAGAAACATGCAAACCAGGCAGTCATTAGTTATAAAGTATTGCTAATGTGCATTTGTGCATTTGACATATGAATACACATATACTATATCGGACGTACATATACTTCTATATGTATATATTAAGTGCATTATAAAATAAGGATGAATAGATAAAAAGTAAATATATTTTAATCTTTGCTGGCTTCGTCCTATGCCACGGACCATTCAGATCTATCATTCCACTTTACAGGCTACTGATTAGGGAAAGAAAGAGAAACGTGTAAAGTAAGCACCCGAAACAATGAGGTAAGTGCTACTGGAGACATGTGCCCAAGGTATTCTGGGAGCACAGAAGAGAAGCTGCTCTGGAAGTGGGGTGGTGAAGAAAGGCCTCCTGGAGAGGAAGATAGAGCATCAGAAGACCGAGGCCAAGCTGGGAAGGCTGGTAGGAGAGGGCATGGCATGGACAATTAGCCTGGTGATCTGGGCAGCATTATTGGCATAAAAAGAGGTGGAGAGGCTGGGAGGAGCTGGGAGACAGGAGGATCAGATTATGGAGGCCTGCAATTGTGAGACTAGGATGATGGGCTTGCTTGGGGATCAAATGGGAGGGGGTTTCTGTAAAGAAGCCTACCTACTCAAGTTCCCAGAAGGCTCCTGTTCTGTGGTGGCCACTCTTGTAAGGAACAGGCGTAGTCACAGCTCCCTCTCAGGGCCTGGCCTAGGTCCCTGCAAACTTAATGGCCAAGACTTCTTAAAGAATCTCGGTAATGTATCTTCAAGTTCTTGTTGAAGAACTTTTGACTTGGTTCAGTAGGAGGAATGGAATTATAATTTGTTTTATGATTCTCATAAATTGTCATCTGATTAAGAAAAATACTTACTAGACACATTGGTGTCTCTTTTGTATACAAGAGTATATAACTGTATCTCCCTTCACCAAGAGAATCATGAATTATACCACCTGGTGCACTAATGGGCAAGCCACTCTGTATGCCCTGACTGTAATTTATTATTTAGAACACATGTCCAAGGATGAGGCTGTGCCCGTGCTTGTTAACTGGGGTTGCCAAATTGTGATTCGTCCTGCCCATTTGTGAAACTCATTTCCCATCTACACGGTGGTGTGAAGTTCATGGCAAGGGTAGAAAAGCTCCTGAGTGTTTTTTCAGGCTTTTTAGATGAAGGGAGACCTGGGTCAGGAGGACAGCGTGGGAACCAGGAATCTCAGAGAAGATGACCCCTGCACCTCCGCTGGCCTTGGAGGCATGTTCAGTCCCAGCTCTGGCTTGACCTCTCTGATCTCCATTGAAAGAAGCTTGGGGGCTGCGGCTGCAGAAGAGGGGCTGTGGCTGGTGGGGGGCACTGTGGCTGTAGCCAGTGGTCACTCATGGTCTGCTCTCAGCTTAGGCAGGATTGAACAACTCTCATTTGAACTGGACATCACAATTTTCCTGCCTCTATTATGCTCAGTATATGGGAGCCATTATTAATCATTCCCAAAGATTTTTTTTTTATAATTAAAGAACATGATTTAAAATGAAGTGTATACCTGTCAGAATGGCTATCACCAATAAATCAATTAACAAGTGTTGTCAATGTGGAGTAAAGAGAACCCTCATGAACTATTGGTGGGAATGCAGACTGGTGCAGCCACTGTGGGAAGCAGAATGGAGTTTCCTCAAAATATTAAAAGTGAAACTGCCTTAAGACTCAGCAATTCCACTTCTAGGAATAAATCTGAAGAAACCCAAAACACTAATTCCAAAACGTGTATGTATCCATGTGTTTATTGCAGTTATTTACAATAGCCAAGATTTGGAAGCAATACAATTGCCCATCAGTAGATGAGTGAATAAAAAAGCTGTGGTACATTTACCAGTGAAATACTACTCTGCTGTAAAAAGGAAGAAAATTGTACCCTTTGCAACAGCATGGATGGAGCTGGGGAGCATTATGCTAAGTGAAACAAGCCAGTCAGAGGAAGACAAGTACCATATGATTTCACTGATATGCGCAATTTAATGAACAAAACTGAACCACCAAGCAAAATAGAGACAGACTCATAGAGAGCAGGCAGACAGCTGGGGAGAATAGGGCTGGAGAGGGAGGGAGGAATTGAACAAGTAGAAAAAAAAATAGGTAGAACTCATGGACATGGACAATGGTGTGGTGATTGCAGAGGTGGAGGGAGATGGATGGAGGCAGAAGAGGGCCTAGACAGGATAAATGATGTTGGAAAGAATAAAATAAAGTTAAAAAATAAAACTAAACATGTATTCTTTGCATTTCTTTGATTTGAAAGATGACAGATACTTATTTAGTGCCCACTCTGTAGAAATTACAGTGAGAAGTGAATTGATACAATGTGAACCAATGAGACTCCTGCCCTTGTGCAGCTGGCAGCCTGGGAACACTGACATTAAAATTATTGCATACATGATTATTTAAAGAATCCACTATGGGAGAAAAGCACAGGGTGTTATGGAAATCTATAATAATAAAAGTATAACATGCTAATTAGACCAGATGACCTTCTGGATGACCAAGCTATGACACCCACTAGTGCCAGGCCAGCCAATGCAGGTGCAATGCTATTGGCCAGGGACCCGAAGGGTGGCCCAGGCCACTGGTCAGCAGGGTGATCAATTGGGGGAAGGGTATTGCTCCATGATCATCCCAAAGAGGGAGGCCCAGGCCTCCGACTGGTGAGCTGTGGCAGGTGGGTGGGACCTCCTTCTATGAGGGAAGCCTGGGTCCCAGATGCCGAAGGGAAGCCAATACTGGCAGCTGGAAAAGGAAGGCCTACTCTTGCACCAATTTCGTGCATCAGGCCTCTAGTATAGAATAAAGAAACAAATCAGAGACTCAAGGAAGACTGTGGCACAAGTCATGTTTGAGCTGAGGTCTGTAGATGAATACGAATTATGTGGGCAAAGAACAGAGGGTAAAGAGAAAAATATTTAATTAATCAAAATATTTCACATATTAAAACAATGCATCTACATTAATTATGTGTGTTGCAGTTCATACTAATGAAAAATTGATTTATTGTCGAGCTTTTTGTATATGGATTTAAAAATAAGCATATACTTATCTGTATTAAAGTTTTTTAAAGAGATACAATAACTAATATGATAGTTATAGTCACCTTTTGTGTCCCCAGATGGACACGTTTTTAGTTCGGGCTGTGAAAGGACTTCAATGTAGTCAGAAGAAATAGGTTGTAACCCACAGGCTTCCTCCGGATGAATCAGCAAACCACAATCCTGCATTCAAATGATAGAAATTAATTGTCATTGAAATGAACCTGCCCCACAGTAATAAAATCTAAAAAGCAAGACCTTTTGTGTGCCAAATAACAACTTATGGATAAAAGAAAGCAATCCATGTTTACTCTTCTTAGCATATTGACTTACCGATTGTTGTTTTTGGTATAAGTAGCTTCTTACATTAGGGGCTTCATATAAATTCTAATGATAATTTAATCTTTATTTTGCTATTGATACTCATGTATTGCTTTGCCAATTTTAAAAAAAATGGATGCAAGTTTTACTTTGAATATATACCTGTGTGTTGACACATTAAAAATATAAAACACTATAAAGAGGATGATATTATCCTCTAACATTGGTGAAAAGACAGTTCACGCGAGAAGGAAAGTGGGGAATATTCTGGAAGAAGGCTAATTCCACAGATGAATTTTATTTCAACATTTCTTAATTAGCCATGGTATGCCCTAAATACAAATAAATACACGTATTTTATTCAAAACATGTTCATGTCTTTGTAACAGTAGGTAACATCTCCCTGCCATGGGTATCATTGTGGAGGCTTGTTCCCTACTAAGCGCTGCCTTCTTAAGTCTGACGCTGCCGTGGGGAACAGCAGTTTGGGGATCTCTGGGACCTCTTTCCTCCATTCTTCTCTACTCCAGCGGGCTGGATCACTCTCATTTTCTCTCAGAGAATTCTTCAAAGCTATTGGCACCTGTACCTGCCCTATAGCCTCCTACCCTGCCTCACCCGGTTCCGCTATCACCTTCTCATCAGGGTCTCCCAGTGTAACACAATTTAGGATAGGTCACAAATGCTGCACTCTCTGTGAGGAATGCTCTCCCTTAATTTTGCATGGAGACTATCTCCATGGGAGCTATGATGCACACTGACCACCAAAGGGCAGAAGCTCAACGCACAGGCATGGAAACGTGGAACAGTCTGATGAATCTCAGAGGGAAGGGGATGGGGAGGGCAAGAACAGATTAACCAAAGATCTTATATGCATACCAGAGGCCCAGTGTATGAAATTCATGCACAAGGTCCCTAGTAGGTGTCGGCCACCAGCCGGAGCCTTTCTTCCCTGGCTTTTGGCCAAGACCTTCTTTTGTTCCACACCGCCCCTAGTGGTCAATGCATGTCAGAGCAAGTGATGGAACTCCTGGTCGAACTCCCAAGGGGAAACTTTGCATATTAGGAATATATATATATATATATATATATATATATATATATATATATATTTATAGACTAGAGGCCCGGTACACAGATTCATGTACCAGTGGGGTCCCTCAGTCTGCCCTGCAGAGAATGAGTCAAAACTGGCAGTCCAAATCCCCCAAGGGGTCCGAGATTGTGAGAGGGTGCAGGCCAAGCTGAGGGACCCCACTGGTGCATGAATTCGTGCACCGGGCCTCTAGTGCAGTTATAAAAAAGAAGGTTCTCTGACCCTTTGAGATAGCATGGAGGGACCTGAAGAGTATTATGCTAAGTGAAGTAAGCCAGTCAAAGACAAATATCACATGATCTCACTCATGTGGAATCTAATGAACAACATAAACTGATGAACAAAATAGATCCAGAGACATCTAAGCATGCAACAGAATGAGGAATCTCAGAGGGAAAATGGGAATGGGTGAGTAGAAAGGGATCAATAGAAGAACTTGTATGCATATATGCTTAACCCGTGGACACAGGCAATGATGTGGTGAAGGCCCAGGCAGGGCAAGGGGAGTGAGTTTGACGTGTAGGGAGTCGATGGGGAATAAAGGGGATATCTGTAATACTATCATCAATAAAAATAAAATTTTAAAAATGAAATCACACCCTCTGTTCTGTAGTGTAGGCCAAAGAATATACTATTACTGTGTTTTCCCGAAAATAAGACATCCTCCAAAAATAAGACCTACTTACAGGTTTCCTTCTGAGTGAAATATAAGGCATCCCCCTGAAAATAAGCCCCCCCCCCTTCCCAGGCTCTGTCTCAGAATGAAAATTAATTTACCTTACCATATACAGGTAATACATTTCCTTTATTTTCATTTAACAATAAATATGTACCGTATTCTTCTTCATGGAAAAATAAGACATCCCCTGAAAATAAGACCTAGCACATCTTTGGGGGCAAAAATTAATATAAGACACTGTCTTATTTTCAGGGAAACAGGGTATAGTCTGTGCTTTCTTACCAATTTCTCCTGAGCACTTAATCTTTGTTTTCAGCTCCGATGCCATATTCCTTGACGTTTTGGAAAGTTAGGGGAGCCTGCTGGAGTGAATATTAATCATTTTCTAGGCACAACCAAGCAATGCTACTTTTAATGTTGAATGAAACACAGTATATACCCAATACAGACTCAGGTCCATAGACTGGCTGACAGGGTTGAGGGAGTTGGAAGACAAGGCTGGATGAACTTCTGCATGTTTTATGGGAAAAGAATAGCGGCACAGCTTGGAAAGAGCACCCTGTAGGGGTCACACTTGTGAGGATAGTTCTAGCTTTGCCATGAACTGGCGGTGTGATTCAAAGTCCCCTGCTCTCCTTGCCTCCATATAAGAGGGTGAAAGGTGGAGAGAGATGAGGGAAAAGGCACATAAAATGATCTCAAGTGCAGTAGCAGCAAATGTAAGGCACCTACACAACATCCATTCTCCTTCCTTCCCTTCTACCAGAGAGACCTTTGTTTTGTTGGAGGCAGAAATATACCTAGCACTCAAAAACAATCTAACCAATCAAACAAACAAAAAACCACTTTGATTTCCCAGTCTTCTTTGTAGCTGGCCATGGCCATGGGACACAACTCTAGCCCGAAAAATGAAAGTGGATCTAGGCTATAGATTTCTGGGAAAGTTTTGCCTCCCTGATGCCATTTTGTCCTGGTTACTCTGTTTCTTCTTACGGCTTGAAATGCAGATGGAAGATGAGAGTTTGGGCTGCCTATGTCTGCACTTCCTACTATGGAAGAAAAGCACATTCCACTTGGTCAAACCACCATGGAAGATGCAGCCAAACTTCTCTTTCTCTAAGAGTCTTAGAAAACCTTTTCTTCTCTTTTAGTATTTCTTTAGGTCTTAAAATTAATTACCTCCATAATTAAACTTAAACAATCTTGAAAGGAAAAATATTATTAGTATCTCTCATTTCTTTCTTATCTGTTCACATTTGTTATTAGTAATTTGTCAACTTCAGGCATATTCGAAAAATTGAATGTCTAAGCTTTTCTGGTCTAAGTGTCATCTCTTATTGCCTTCAAGTTTACATACATGCACAAGGTAATATTTAGCATCATTGGTTCAAGTGGCATTAACCCCGGAGAGTTTCACATTTAGAGTGTATCATTTTAAAAAATATATTTTATTGATTTTTTACAGAGAGGAAGGGAAAGGGATAGAGAGTTAGAAACATCGATCAGCTGCCTCCTGCACACCCCCTACTGGGGATGTGCCCGCAACCAAGGTACATGCCCCTGACCGGAATTGAACCTGGGATTCCGGGTCCACAGGCCAACGCTCTATCTACTGAGCCAAAAGAGTTTCAGCTAGAGTGTATCATTTTGCTGGAGACTTCATGAATCCCTGAGTAGACCGTCAGAGCTTTCGGTAAAATGCAATGAGATAATTAACAGGATCTCCTTGTTCAAATACGTGCAGAATATATATGTTTAGTATATAATTTCAAAAATTTATTTAACTTTCCAGTAAGGACATGGGTTTAATCCCCAGTGAGGGCACATACAAGAATCAACCAGCAGATATACCAATACTAGTAAGTGGAACAATAAATCAATGTTTTTCTCTTTCCTCTTTCCACCCAACACTCTCTCTCTCTAAAATATATATATATATATATATATATATATATATATATATATATATATATATATATATGTGTGTGTGTGTGTGTGTGTGTGTGTGTGTGTGTATGTATACACACACACACACACACACACACACACATTCACTCCCTGCGGTACACAGTTTCTTCCAGAAGACTTCATTTCACCCCTTCCCCTGGGTTGCTGCTCTTTCCAATATGTCAAGAGTGACCTCTCAAATTTAACAATCCTGGCACTGTCACATCCTCCGGAAAGGCAGGGTCCCCTTCTAAATCAGGACTGTTAATTTTCCACCAAAAAATGAGGTTCCTGTGGCTCTAATTTTACTAAAATGCTCCAGAGGAACATATTATTTTTTGTCTTCACTTTGCCCCTGATTGTAACAACTGCTTTCTTTGTAGTGTAGTAATCCAGCCATAAAACATGGAGGAGCTGTGTGATTCACAGTACTAGACACCGAGTGACATTCTTGGGAGAATTAGCTGAGGTAAACACTAGCAATACGTAATTACAGCATAATCCATGTGAAAGCATCCTTTACATGCCACAGTAATCCTAAAACTAAAGGTTTTTCTTAAAGAAAAGAGTGCAAATCATATTAAAACAGATTTATATCCCTTAGGAATGGCAACTTGGGATATCTCACAAATGGAATTAAAATGCTGAGAATTTATCCTACATTTATATGTTATAAAGTCTGCAAAGATTCATGTGCAAGGAAACTTACTAGAGTGTTTTGTGTCAAGAAAACTTGATACAACTCAAGTGTTCATCAATAGAAACAGGTTACATCACTTATACATCCGTATAATGACATATTTTATAATTCTTAGAGAAGAAGGATACAGGTGAAGATATGGAGGGATCTAGAAGACATATTAAGGCAATAAAGCAGGTTGCAGGCTATTATGTATACCATGATCCTATTTAAGCAAAATAAAGTGATATATATTAAATATGTTTCACTGTGCATACATAACTTCTGAATGATACCAAGCAACTCTGAACAGTGGCTCTCTTAGAAGATTAAGAATAGTAGGCCAGAGATGGAAAAACAAAAATGAACTTTTACTTTTTACTTCAAAAATGAACATTTTTGAAGATTTTGCCATCAGTATGAATCATATATATATATTCATATATATTCATATTATATAT